AATCCAGATTGCCTTAAGAATTCTTACTTCTGTGATATTTTCTTTAATCATCACAGTGTCACTAGCACAAGCAATACTTTATGAAAGCTTCATACTACCTATTGTACGAGACTCTTCCTTCCATTGTTCGTATTGCAAGTCTAAGTGCTACAAGCATAAAGCTCCTGGAAGTTTAAAGGAAAGACAAAGCAACACAAAATCCCTGGGAAGTTTCACAGCGTGTATGACTCGCAGGCTAACAGGAATTCAGAGAATGGTTTGTAATTCCATTTTTATACATTAATAGTTCATCAATCATTGGTTTTAACTAAAATATGTATTTTAGCAACTACAGCTTTTATCTAAGACACAGTTTTTAGTACTACTTTTAAGATTCTTCACAAAAGCATATAAGCAGATGAAACCGCTTTTGAGTTCTACACTGCAGAATGACTTTTTCTAACTCAGACACTTTAAATTCACAGTCACTTATAAGTTAGCTAGCAACAGTGAACACAAAACACTTCAGAAAAAAACAGTATTTTACTAGCTTCCACATCTGGCAGAAAACAGAATGATTTTGTAACACAGAGAAATTTTCTTTCATTTATTAGCTAGCAGTGGAATTTTGCTAAACTTTCCCAGCTGAAGGAGCAATCTGCAGTCTGATTTCCTAATCGTAGTTCAATATGCATAGTATTCTACTGTTCCTATATAATTGGCATTTCTGTATAATCAAACCTTAAGTAGTGACAAATAGCTCTCACAACGAAGATTAACAGAATGTATTCAAGCTTATTTTAATTGTGCCAAAGATCAAACATATATCAAATTATAAAAAAAATAAGACTCGTGTGCAAGACTTAGAGTTGACCTCTACTGCCTCAGCTAATGCAGAAAACCATTCTGTAACTACAGGTCAGCATTCCTAACTGCAAGACAGGAACTCTCTCCATCTCTGAGTCACATCTCCTACGCTCAAAATTCTTGTACATCAGATGATCAGTATGTATTCCTTCAAGTAAATCTTTTCATCTAATGCCTATATTCACATGGCACAGCTTACAGGTGTCACATCAGTCAGGTGGTTCTTCAGTCTGAATTACATAATTTTCAGAATCTAGAAAATAAACAACAACATGAATCATACTACCATTTAAAAATACAGAAGTGAAGCTCACCTTTTAGCTTCCATGATAGCACAGCTGACTGGAGAGGACAAATTCATAACGTCCAATATTCAGCTTTTTAAGTCTGTAAGTTCTGGAAAACAGACATTGTCTTCAATCACATTTAGTTGACAAGCTTCAAGGACTACTATTTTCCATACCATCAAAACATTAAAAACCTGTACAGAGACGTGCTTTAGTTTATTTGACAACATAATAACCATTTGTTAAGACTCAGTTACCAGCGTTACTAATATGTCATATAAACAATGAAGGTTAATAGTTTGCTTCAGTTTATTAACAAAGAATAACTAGATGTATCATCTAGATCTATCCATCAGAATTCACCTTGGTACATGTCTTCCTAAGTCCTAAAATAGATAACTACCACACAACTGTCACACAACACTCCCAGAGAAAGCAACAGAGCTTGCTCTTCCTCTAAGCTGATAGTTGAAGACCTCGTTTTCAAAGTACAAACAAGTCTATGGTAAAACAGCTATGCATGTGTTAAGGCCCATTAAATCCTAAGTAACTTGCAAACTAAAAACTCCAACTTTACATGAGAGAGCAGCAACCCTGATAGAGTATTTGTCATATGGTATTCAACAAGATCAACTGCTTGGATAAAAAAAATTGTGGTATCAGGGTATGGGAAACTATACTATCAGTTGTGCCCAATTTCAGCATTAAGATGTAGCTCTGAACATTGCGGAACTGCTTTCATACACCAACCCTTTTAAGCTTTATTGCAGACTCCACCAAGATGTCATAGTGAGCAGTAGAATAACAACAAAAAAAGTGTAACTAAAAGCCTTTCTTAGAAATTTGTTTTTTCACCTCAAGAATTCCTTAATTCTACCCAAGAGCTAATAGCTGTAGTGGAAAAAAACCAACCAAACCTCAGTCTCAGAATATAACCAAAACGTATACTCTGTCACATCCACATCGTTCTGCAGTTTTAAAACTTTCTGATATTAATCTGGTCACATAGAAGAGAAAAAAAAATCTAAATAGTATTTTCTGAGAATGCTTATGATTTTGAATATGTAACATTCCTCTGTTAAAGTATTTATCAATATCTAGTTTATTAGGACACAAATGGATACACTACAAAGGCATGCTATTTCATTTAAGAAAAAAAAAAAAGTATTCAAGTGGCATGGAACAGCTCACAGGAGCCCCATAATTAAACAAAACCGTATCAGAAGTATGTTTGATTGTTGTTACCTATGAAACTTGAGTCATATTCTCCTCATGAACTTCTGAATATGCTTAACTAACTTTAGCAAGGCCACTGATTTTGACTCGATATAAGCAAGTGATGCCAGCTAGATGATGCCCGCAAGCGGTTGGTCCTAATTGCTGTAAGGAGCCTCAGACAAGAATGGGACCCAGGACACAATTTCTGTAAGGGGCCTCAGATACAGTTTTTGCAACTGTGATGGGTACATCCTAGGGCGGGCAGAGAAACCAGCAGACACCTGCAAAAGCCAAAGATAAGAAAGCTGAGAAACTTTAGAGACACAGAGATGAGCCAAGACAAGACCTCATAAGAAAAAAAGACTCAAGAGTTCATGGGAAGGACACGAAGAGTCATCTCTTCAACAACCACTAGGGACCACCACAGACCACCAAAAACCCCCATGGAAGCCCCTCAAAGACCCTTCCCCAAATTTTAGTACCTTGCACAATGTATTAACATATGCATTAGATCCTCTGGAAATAGAAACTTCTTGGAAATCACATGAATATATAATGAGTGTGCCTTTGTCTTTCAGCATGCACATTAGGTCGAGTGATCCCCCGTGCCCCAGTGCTGCAATAAAGAATGCCTGCCTACTAAAACTTCAAACCTAAAGGGTTGAGACCGAATTTATTATAACAGAAGAAATTCCTTCCTGTGAGGGTGGTGAGGCACTCTCACAGGTTCCCAGAGAAGCTGTGGCTGCCCCTCCCTGGCAGTGATCAAGGCCAGGATGGATGGGGCTTTGGGCAACCTGGGCTAGTGGAAGGTGTCCCTGCCCATGGCACGGGGTTGGAACGACATGATCTTCGAAGGTCCAACCCAAACTGTTCTATGACTGAGACTACTCAAATCTACCCATGATCTTAAGATATATCAGTTGAAAAGATACAGAACCAGGAATAACTAACATATCTGCACTAGAACTTATAAAAACTCTCCAACAGTTGTTTCAGCTGAATCACTAGATTTTCGTTAACACAGACCCCACATTTTATGCAAGCTAGAACTCAAAGCGACAGCATCGCTTCACCACGTTGGCACCGCATATGTCACCGGCTTCAGCACACGCTGCGCTAGCGGCGCGGCCGGTGCAGCGGGCAGGCC